ACACATTTTCACTTCATTTTCACTAATGCATGCCTGTTGGGAGTTGACTTCCTCTTAATGTAGAATTTTTTGTATACATTTCTAATTTGGGAACTGATAAATTTGGAGAAGTGTGAATTTCGAGGATAATTGAGTCTCCTTTCATGTTTTGATTTGACAGTAAAAAAAAAAAGTCCAATCACACTAAAAAGCAATCCAGATGAACATCTGCCTCATCCTGGCTTCTGGGGAAAAATTTGTAGGATTCCATTGTCAGAGAGGCAATTTAATGAGCCATTGAGAGGTCATGGATCATTACATTCACAGTTATGATCAACAAGAGCAATACAATAAGATCTGCACACAGGAAACATTTAAGTAACACTGTAGAGGAACATTGCTATCCTAAGAGTATCTTCTCTCAAAGAAAACTACATCTCTTTAGGACAGCTTTCAGAATTCTTTTAAAAATGATTTAAAACTTATTTGAAAGCTACCAGTGGGAGGCTTTCATGGGTAGCTTTGTACAATGGATGAGCTTTTGTTTTATCTGATTGAAGTGAATAATATCAAACTGCTGAATCACTCAGTGGATTAGATCTCTGACTATGGAGCCAGAGGTTTTCACTATGTCTCCCTGAAAGGGGCTTGACTTGATCCATAGAGTCCCTTCCAGTTCTGCCATTCCAAGGTGATGGCGGGGATGATGATGTCCATAAAACGTTATTTCATAATACATTTCCTTGTCTTTCAGCTGCCACAAGACTCTTAACGTTGTTTTTGCTGCTTTGTTGAGAGTACTTAGAAGTGGTTTAACATCGTTATTCAGGCTGGAACAAGATTATATCTGAAGGTACAGGGCAAAAAAAATTGAATGGAACATCTTGGACTTTTTTGGACCCATTCAATGGCTTTTGAGAACTCAGTAACATTTCAGAACAAAGTTTTACTGGTTGGACGGGCAAAACTCTGGGAGTGGATGGCAACCCTCCTAAGAGAATAATGAATGTCTCACTAAGATCAGATGTCTGTCTAAAGCAGAGTTTGTCATTTTGGATTATAGGTTCCCAGCCAGCATTCTTAAAGCTACAGTGCTTTTTAGAAGGTAATTTGTCCAAGCTCTGGTTCAGTTTTGAATGGTAACTGACTTGCTACTTTTAGGAACTCAATAGCAAGTTATCAAGGTGATGGTCATCCACTGATGGTTATCCCCAACATTTGGCATTCAAAGGTATATTGGCCCTGTATGTGGAGGTTTCATTGGCTTTTATTAGCTAATAAATTGTCAATATATTTAATACTTTGTAAATGTTGCCGTATCCTTTTTTTAAAAAAAGCCATCAAAGTGAGTAGCCTTTCATCACATTTTCCAGCAGTCGATTGGCCCATAAATCATATGTGTTGTGCTTTATCAGTTCTGAACAAACTGGCTGTCAATCTTCATAGCATTTTCCCCTCAAAGCACCATAAAAAGAAGGAATAAGAGAGACAAAACCTCTGAGTAATGTTCAGGGGGAAGAAATTACTATAATGTGATCTGCACAATGTGTCTGAACAATTATCTTTACCAGAGCATTATATATATACATATATGCAGCACAAAGACAAATTTAAAAAAACAAAACTGCACGCCAAAATACAGTAATGAATACAATTAAAGGACACATTGTTAACACTGTGGCATGTGTAGGGGTGTGTGCATGTGTGTGTTTATCAGAGAGAGATTTTCTTTGCCTGTACTACCAGCTGGGTTTTTACTTGAGACTATAATTATACTAATAGGTTTGTAAGAGAGATCTTTTCTCATATGCTCGCTGCCTTCACAAATGCCACATGTACTTTCTACTACTGTCATGTATTAATGCTTAAGAATATTATTAACATTTGTTTTTCTTCCGTCTATTGCAAAATATGAATAACCAGCTTGTCTGATGTTTTTATAACCCCATATTCCTTCAAGTGGCTTGATCCATTCTATTATAACTGCCTTGCAAGATTTTTTTTTAAATTTGCTTTTCTTTTTGCCTAAGCCTTTATGTTAGGATTACTGCATGGCAGTTTTTTTCATCTTATATCCTTATTCAGATTTCTTGAGAATATTATATTGAGGAGGCTTTTTGGTGTCCTGCCTTATATTTCATTTTTAACTGCTTTGTATATGGCTTTCCATTAGTTTGGTCTTAAAACTCGCCATGTTTTGTGGACATAGCTTGAACCAGAATTTATTTTATTTTATTTTACTTATGTTATTCTACCTCACCCTTTAACATAAAAGTTCTAGGGCAATTCACATACAAAGAAAATATAATCTGAAAAAAGAAAAGAAAAAGTAACACAGCAGCACTGGTAAAAAAAACTTGAGTAACAGGTAAAAACAGTAAGAATTAAAAAGTCACCTCTTTCAAGGTCTAAGAAAAGAAAAAAAGATCTTAATCAGAGTAAGGAATAGGCAAATCTCCTTGGGAAACCCTTTGCATAACTGGGGCATTATCCCTGAGAAAATTCTTATCTGTTATTGGGCTCCTTACTTCTAATGACCAGAATACCTGTGGGAAAGCTATCTGGTATACACCTACATATGATGGTAGCAAGAGCACAATTCAGCATCAAAGGGTAGGTTGTGATAGCATACTGAAAGCAAATGTATAGCTATATATCACAAAGGTTTTCACAACAATTCAACTTTAGGTGATCTCCTAATGTTAAAATAATCTCTTAAAGAATTCCTCTGTACCTGCAATGGAAGACAGCTGTCTGTTGTCAAGCCTTCTAGATGTATGTTTGTGTGTGTTTTACCATGGCTTTATAGATAGAATCTCACCCCTAACACCTTCCCATTAGGAGTTTAAGAATGTTGGTCTGCTTCCAAGCACTATATACATCTCTGGCACATGCTTTTAAGTTGTGTATGGTTTGGAAGCTGGTTTATAAAGGTCAGCTTACTTCCACATGAACTTTTTTGAATGTCAAGGTAATTCTCTGAGGCTCTTCCCCTGATGACCACATCTTCAAAAATTAGGCCATTCTCCTTTGGCCGTGCTTTTATGGGGAAAGGTAACAGTGGCAGACATGTTCTCCTTCTCTTTTTCGTTAAACAGAACTCCTGTTCAACTTCTGAAGAATCCTCTCCCTCTCAATGATTTAAAAACCCAGGCTGCTGCAATTTCCTTGACTAGCCATGGCCCTGATTGATCTCCAGTAAAACTGACAGGGTCACTGTCTTGTCTGTGGAAAGTAACAAGAAGTTTGTTGGAAATTCAGTTATCCACAAAAATATCTGTTTTACAACTTCTAAGAGTTGTCGTGAGACAAAGGGAAAGCAAATTCACCTCAGAAAATCCACACATCTACAAGCCTTACCACGCATTTTGTAGAAATAAAGTATGCATATGAGCCTACATTATAAAAGTGTGGATGACTAAAATGTAGACAGTTCAAAAAAAACCAGAAGCTCACTCTAGTTGGTGGGGCAAATGTGTATTAGGAAAAATGCATATAAATATACATATGTTAGGAGAAATGCAGGTAGAAAATGCATAAGAATTTCCATGAAGGGAAGGGAAAGTAAATGTCTTGCAACCTGATAAAAACAAAGGATGGGCATGAGAAGGCAGGTGGGTAGAAAAACATCAGAACTGAGATTCGGAGTTCTTCCATATCCCTATTCACCAATTTCTTTTTAAAATTAAAGCAAGAGATCAATCCCTTGTCTCTCTTTTCTGAGTAGATGCAGCTGTGGAAGCAGGAGTGGGGGGAAGGTGGAGAGTGAACTTTTTCCAGAAGAACCCAACAACAGTTCTTTCCAGGCTTAAAAGAGTCCATGCGAAGTGGGTTCAGTGAAAGAAATGAACATGAGGGAAATTGATAAGGCTTTCCTCCCACTTTATTGAAAAGTAGAGTGAAAGACAGCGAGAGAAAAAGCATAGGCAGTGGATTGTCTGCCTCCTGACCTTGCCAGCTTTGCTGAAGGGCAGAGGAACATAGTGGATAGTGAAAGAAATCTGTATCACAGCAACTGAGAAGGTCAGTCTGCGACTGAGTCCCTAAAGAGCGATAGGGACTGAGGATAAAAGCAATAGTGTGGAAATTGGGCAGACATAGGAAACTGGTGTAGCGCAAGGAAATAGTAGCCATGAAAAAAGGAGCACAAACAGCTGGAGGTGGGGGGGAAGGGAGTTACACTTTTGGACTCCCAGAATCCCACAGGCTGCATAGCTGGGGGGCCCTGGTGCCTGGGGTGTTCTCGAGTTTGTTTGTTTAGTTATTTATTTGAGATATTTTTATCCTGCCTTTCTTCTTAAAAAGGACCCAAGGTGGGCTTACATCATGAAAAGACAATATTTAAAAGCTAAAAACAGTAAGCATCCAATTTTTTTAAAAAAATTTAAGCAAATATTACATCAAAAGGATAAATAAAATCTACAGTAAAAAAAACTATTTAAAAGCAACAAGGCACAACAATCCGTTTTTAAAAAACCCTCCTAGACAGCCTGTCACTAAGGGAAAGCCTGTGTGAAAAGAAAGGTTGAAAGGCTGTGTTTTTGTTTGTTTGTTTGTTTGTTTTAAACAAACAAACAAACAAAACATCTTCTCCCTATGGAGGGAAGGGATCTGTGCAGAAGAGGGCACTGAAGGCTTCAGCTTAACAGCTTCAGAGTCTTGATAAGCAATAGGCCTCATTTACAGGTTTTGCTTGACACAATGAGAGGTAGATGCCATTACATCTTCTAACATAAATCTGTCATTTATGATTGTCTATAGGATCCTCTGGGCCGAGGTTTTGTCTAGAAGGACAGATTCATATTCCTTCAGCAAGTTAGCTACCCACACCTATTTACTCAACCAGCTGCATCTTTGCACACTCTCGTATCCTGAACCTCCAGTTCAGTTTTCCCTTGAGATAGACTCAGTGTATCTACTCCTAGTTGCTCCTGCCATTCTAGCTTGGCAAACCCTTGCCTGACCCTTGAGTTTCATAGGGATGAGTTGGGGGGGGAGAGATGCAGCGATTATGGAATTACCTTTGCCTGATGCTCACTTCCCTTGCCTCCCCTCCCCTGGTCCCAGTTGGCTCCCTTGAAACCCGGTTGTCATGGAAACTCTGTGGATCCCTCGTTGCCATGGCTACTCCGCCAGTGCTTCGGATTCCCAGTTGCCATAGCAACTCCACAGGCTCCAGGTGGCAGCAACCGTGCAGTGGGGAGGGAGCAAATGAGGGAGTGGAGCAAGGTGTTGGGGTGGCGGGGGGGGAGGCAGGGAGAGGCTCATGCAAGACTTCTGCAACAACATCTTGAAAAGAAGTGTGTGCAAAAAAGAGACAAATAAGCATGTCTCAAGGTGCAACAGCCATCGTGGTCTGCCCATTTCAGCAGGGCCTAAGTTGAGATGGCCTATCAGGATGTAGCTCTGAAAGGCTGACTCCATTGAGTCGGGGCGGGCATGTGTGTGTGTGTGTGGATAAATTAAAGGAACACTGAACATGTGGAGAACACTATTGAGCAGCTGCAAACCAGCATGTATGTTTAGGAGGAGGAAGGAAAACCTCCAGGCTAAAGGGCATGAACTGCAACCAGGTTAGAGTCCAAGTACCTCATAGAAAATGTAGGCAGTGCACCTCAAATATCACCTCACATTTTCTTAGCAAAGATCACCCAATCTGTGCTAACACTGTGTCTAATCCTGCAGTGCTAATATGTCTACCTGGAGATTTTGCGGCCCAAATGTTAGAGTCTGGTAGGGACCTACTGGAAGGTCTCTGGATGATGTGCAGGAAATCAGCAGATACTGCTTGGCAGTTAAAAAACACTGCTCTTCCCTTGTTAACCAAGTGGTTAGAATCTATGATCTGTATCTCAAGGCAGTTCCAGTGGAGCATTTGTTCCACATAAAGAACCAGGTTTCTGCACTTGTCTTACAAGGGAAGTCCCATCATCTTCTAGACAAACTTCTTCTTACCTAGCTTTGTGCCAGGTTTTCTTCTTGAACTCCTGCACCTTTTTGTCACTCATTCCTTCTTTTATTTTTGTACCTCTTTGTGCCAGGACTGGAGATTAGCCCTGTGACCTGTAGCGGCTTGTGCCCCTGATGGTTGATGGGGCAGAAGCAAAGCAACCAATGGTGGGTGGAGCTAAGACAAAAACAGATATTCATACACACATACAGATTTGCACACAGACAGAGGCAGGCAGGGAGGGAGGACTTTAAACATGTGCACTAAGGGAAACCTTCTATCTCTGGAAATCAGGAAGGCAAGTGAGGGGTGATTAGGAAAACCTAAACCTGAGGCAGGACAGCACTTCACATGCTTTGAAGTATAAGCCACTGCTAGCTGTGACTCTTCTAATAAGTGGGAGCTTTGCCATCTGAAGCTTGCCTTTCCCTTCCTGCTCCTCTTCTAAAAATGGATCTTTTGGGGAATGGGTTTGCCTTGTGAGCCAGAGAGCAGACTTGAGTTGGGGGAGGGTCTTTGAGGGGAGGTTGCAATAAGTAGATTGAGCAAATAGTTTAGTTAATTGTCGTCATCATCTTAGAACAGCAGAGCTCGAAGGAGCCCTATGGCTCATTGAGTCCAGCCCTTGTCAAGAAGCCACAGTGGGGAATCAAACTCCCAACCTTTGGCTCCATAGCCAGGTAGCTGAACCACTGAGCTGCAGAGACAACAGATGGCCAGAAGTGGAAATGTGCACCAAATAACTCAGTTTCCATTTCTTGGGATGCTAGGGAATCACACTGCTCTTTCTGGGACTCCTCCTTCCTGTTCTATGCCCCTTTCTTCTCACCCACATTCTGTTCCTCACATCTGCTATGAGAAGGAAAGCAGAGAAATGTGTCTGGATGAATAAAAAACAAACAAGCAAACAAACAACAACTGTGATTCATGGTGTAGATAAAGAAGCAAACTGCAATATCTAGGATTCTCAGAACCCTCCCTCAAATGATATATAGCAGAGATTAGACAAAGATGGGATCTGAACCATCACATCCAATTCCCCAGCTGGCTAAAAGAACCATTTGCATCTGGCTCCTGCTAATGGACCCTGTGTCTGTTATGTGCAGGATGGGGGGGGGAGATTTGAACCCAGGTCTCCTGAATCCCAATCCAAAGGCTGAAGACAGGAGGAAAAGAGGAAGACCAAATACAAGATGGATTGACTACCTAAAGGAACCACAAGCTTGAGTTTACAAGAGCTGAGCAGGGCAGCTGAACATAGGACATTTTGGAGATCACTCATTCATAGGGCTGCCATGAGTCAACAGCACACAACTTGACAGCATATAACAACATACAACATATGGGCTCTCTGGTAGATATGGGAGTTCTATTATTTTTAAAGCTGATTTCACCAGCATAAACTGTCCATGCACTTGCTCTAGAATGCAGGATTTTTTTAAAAAAAAATCACTCCTTGATCCTGCATTAACGTTCTGACGTACCCACACACTCTCAGGATTAAACAAGTAACCAGACCAGAAATTAATTAATTAATTAATTAATTAATTAAATTTATTTATTTATTTAATACCCCGCCCAACTAGAACGAAGTCTACTCTGCGCAGCTAACACCAATCCATAAAATAATAACAATATAAAATAAAACAACAATATTAATATAATTTAAGACAGAAAGAAATAGATTAGATTATGACAGGAGGGAAGGCCTTCCTAAAAATCCAGGTTTTATGTTTCCTCTTAAAAACACCCAGCAAAGGAGCCAGGCAGATTTCTGTGGGTAGACTGTTCCAGAGGTGAGGGATCACTGCTGAGAAGGCCCGGTTTCTTGTTCTTTCTGTTTAGGCCCCTCAGCTGCCCATCTTGGCTAGAATGAGTGGTTCGGGTAGATCTAGATAGGAGAAGGCGTTCTGCTAGATATTGAGTGAGAAGTGTGGTTGCCACATTTTGCACCATTTGAAGCTTCTGCATCAATCTCAAAGGTAGTCCCATGTAGAGTGCATTACAGTAGTCTAATCTCGAGACTACACACGCATGGACCAGAGTAGTGAGCACCCAAACATCACAATAGGGATGCAGCTGGGCAATCTACCAAAGATGGAAATAGGAGGTATGGACTACTGATGCTACCTGGGTTTCCACGGTGAGCACCAGATCCAGATAGACCCCCCCCCCAAGCTACGAACCTCACTCTTCATGGTGAGAGTCACACCTCCAAAAGAGAAGGAGCTTCCCAAGTCACCGATGGCAGGGCCACCCACCCTCAGGACCTCTGTCTTGTCTGGGTTCAGCCTCAGTCCATTCACCTGCATCCATTGCAATACGGCCTCCAGGCAACAATAAAGGGATGAAATGGCATCCACTGTTGTTGTTGGAAAAAAGATGTAGAGGTGGGTGCCATCAGCATACTGATGACATGAAACCCCGCACCCCCTAATGACCTGACCTAGCACACTCGTGTAGATATTAAACAGCAAATCAGCATACTGATGACATGAAACCCCACAACCCCTAATGACCTGACCTAGCGCCCTCGTGCAGATATTAAACAGCATTGGAGAGATAATCGAGCCCTGCAGAACCCCACAATTGAGAGACCGCGAAGCCCACACAATCACTGGAAGCTGTACTCTCTGGTTACAGTTCTCCAAGAAGGATCAGAGCCAGGCAAACACCAGAACATCAATTCCCAACTTGGAGAGCCTCCTCGGGAGGATTCTGTGATCCAAACTTGGAGAGCCTCCTCAGGAGGATTCTGTGGTTGACGGTATTGAAGGTGGCTGAGATATCAAGAAGGACCAACAGAGATGTTTTGCCCCTGTCTTCCTCCCTCAACAGGTCATCAAACAGGTCGACCAATGCAGTTTCCATACCATGCCGTGGCATGAAGCCTGACTGAAACAGGTCCAGGGCGTTGGTTTCATCCAAAATGGCCTGCAGCTGGTCAGCCACCACCTTCTCTACCACTTTGCTCAGGAAAGAAATATTAGCAGCGGGCCTATAATTGCCAATGTTGTCCACCGCCAAATTTGGTATCTTCCTAATAGGCCTAATGAGTGTCTCCTGGAGGGCAAGAGAAACCTTACCCTCCTGGAGATACCCATTAATTAATGCAGTGGTCCATTCTATTGTTATAGGCTTGGCTGCTTTGATTAGCCAGGCCGGGCAAGGGTCATGATTTCTCCTGGCTCCTCATTTTTTTAGGCTCTCCTGCATCCCTTGTTATGCTGGTGATGCCACACAATCCCAACCCACCAGTCCCCTCATTATTCCACCCCACCTTATTTTCCTCAGATCTGCTAGTACCTTTCAATTTTGATGGAGCTTTAGTCAGAGATTCTCTCTCCCAGCCCTTACTGTCCCTTCTCTTGACAAGTTCTAGTTCAGAGGTTTTCAAACTGTGGTCTGGGAACCACTGGTGGGTCCATGGAATCCATTCAGGTGGTGCTTGGAAAGGATGCAGATCTCAATTTCACCCTGAGGCCTGATTTCCTGATGATGGAGATTGATGCCATTTTTGACCAAGGCCAAATGACCAAACAGGATAAAGTTTTACCCTCAGACAGGGATGGACAATTTCCAGAAAGTCGAGAGCTTCACATTCCCTCTTGGATCTCAGAGGATGTGCCTCCCCTGTGTATCCCTCAAAACTCTAGTTCTCTTTAATTTGAAAGGGTCCATGCAACCTCAAGTGTCACAGAGTGCAATTGCCGCCCCCCATTTTTTTTGCCTTGCCTGCTTTTTTCGGGGGAGGGGGGTAAAGATGTCTTTTTTGAAAACCAGAAGTAACTGGCTTCCCTTCTCAGGTTTAAAAGAAGCCTCCTGTTTACTGTGGGGCACAGAAAGCCTTAGAGCTGCCCTTCGCCCACCCTTAGGCTAGGAGGAATCATTTTCAGGAAATAACACTGGTTTATTTTACTAATTTTTACTTGAAAATAAAGCTGATAAAGCGACCTTTCTCAGCCACCCAGCTCTATGCCCGTGGTTCATTTAATACAGCATGGTTTTCACAAAGATGCTAGCTCTAAAGGGAGGAAAAATGCTTATAAAGGTATCTGAGACTCTCCCATCAATTTTCAAGTGGCCCACCATGGGCAAAAGTTGGAGAACTTTTGCTCCAGAGCATTTCCTTCTTCCTTTGTT